ACTATGATATACCTAAGTGTACATGCAACCTATGGATCTATGGTTTCATGCTAATTACATCTACCTTAGAAAACAAAATACAAAGAAGAAAAACATACCTTTTTCGTAGCCCTTAATCTCCATGCTTGAGATTTCGTCCTCCATGAAGTTGCTTGGATGAGAGGACCCAAACCAAAATCCCTCTAATGGTATCACACCCAATGACACCAAAGAGTGGAATAAAATAACTAGGAGAATGGTCAATTTAACAAACCCAAAGAGGGTTAGAAATCGTCCCTAAGAGGGGGAGGAAGAAGGGTTGGCGAAATTTCAAGCCAAGGTGCAAGGAAGAATGAAATACCTACGACCCTATTTATATCCTTGGATGCCTTCTTAGGTTTTGTACTCCTTCCCATGTGGGATGGGAGCCTAACCACAAAATTCACTCCCTTTTCCCATGTGGGATGGAGTGATTTTCATCCAACCTTAATTCCATAAGGGTTTTGGAACATTCCTGATTAACCAACTATCGATTAATGAATATTCAACCCTTTAATTAATTAAACTGTTAATTAATTCCCAAAATATATTTCCAATTAGTTTCTAATTAAATTATTAACCATAATAATTAATAAACCAATTTCTCATTTTATTTATTCTACATAGTTTGGGTCTTGAGGGCAACCCAAAAGGACCCTGTTATTATTAGAAATATTACCAATAGTTAATGACCTTAGACACTATTTCCAACAACTTCTATATTGACGATTAAGTGATTCATAGTATCAGTTTTCACTGTCAGAGAGTTGTTGTGTGTGTTTTCTATTTGCGAGGTGAGTTTTCTAACTTTATTACCTATGTTATAGTGGTGCACATGTTAGACTAGTTGAGTCTTATTTGCTGATTGTTGTTATGTGTATTATCGAGTTGCTGATAACTCTAGGACTTCTGATAGTCCGCAGGGTTGCTGATAACCTATGGGGCTGCTGTGAGCCCATATGACTCCTGATAGTCCTTAGGACTGTTGATAGTCCCAGGGTTGCTGATAACCTATAGATGTTTATTATGTTGTGTTGTATGTGATATTTTGGGGAACTCATTAAGCTTCGTGCGGATAATTCTGGATTTAAATGTGTTTCAGGTACTTCAGATGATCGTAGAAAGGCGAAGGCTTAACTGTACACAGTTATCGACAACTTTTGTGATTTCACATTATTATAATACCCCTGATTTTTGGGATGATTGTATTTGATACTTATGGTTTTCTTGACTTGGTTTTATGGAAATGATGTTTTACCTAAATTAAAAATGAAAATTTTGGTTGTGAAGAATGAGACTTCACATTTTAGCAAATGTACGAGGGACGAATGGTATAATTTACCCATTTTTTTCGATAGAAGATAAGCTCTAAAACAATGATAGAAAATATGATCCTAATGATCCTAAAATACTTGTCGATCCTATTTGAACTTTAATATATATATATATATATATATATATATATATATATATATATATATATATATATATATATATATATATATATATATATATATATAGGGAGAGAGAAAGAGAGAAAGTTCAATACAGAACCATTATTAATGTTTCTCCAAGGAACCAAATATTATTTGAAGTTTTAAAGCTTATTCTTTATCGAAAAAAATTAAAAATATCTAAATTCAGAAATTCACATTGTGAATGCTAAAAATTAAATTATATGTTTTTCGAATTCACCGTGTGAATTCATATTCACATTGTGAATATACACAAATTCACACTGTGAATTTGACGAAAAAAAAAGGTAAATTTTTTTATCGAATTTGATACTATTAGAAAAATGATAAAAAGTTATGATTTTTTTTAAACTAAGTTCTAAAAGTGAAAAAAGAAATGGGTTCCTAGATTCCATTACTAATAAGGCTGGAGGGTGTGGCCGCGGTCTGGGACCGTGGTTTGTGCCAGCTGGACCGTGCACACCGCCCCCAGACTGCGGTCTGGTGCGGTTTTGGCCGCACTGCGGCTGGGGAGTACCGCGTCACGTGATTGGCTGGTGGAATAATTGACCGTTGAATGCTTTTGGGCGTTGCTTTTTTTTTTTTTTTTGCCTTTCTTTCCTATATATACATATTCAATTCATTTGTTTTTAACCACAATATAACCTCTTCTCTCTCTCTCAAAACTTTTTTAAAAAAATACCACTCTCTCTAAAAAATGTCATCTTCTGAAGAATTTCAGACTATTTTTGATGCCGATGTGCGTGTGTTCAAATGGCGGAACAAACATACGATGTTTTATGCAATAACGCAGCTGCTAGTTCTCAACGGAGAACACGAAGATATATTTCCAGAAATCGTGAAGAAGCCAGCCAACGTTTGGAGCAAGACTATTTTGAAGAGAATGCCACTTATCAAGGGTATTATTTTCGTAGGCGCTTCAGAATGTTCAAAGGTTTATACGAACGTATAGTTGAAGATGTAACGAGAGAGTACAGTTTTTTTCAACAACGCTACGATGCTAGAGGTACACCCGGTTTCACTCCCTTACAAAAATGCACGGCCGCATTTCGTCAGTTAGCATATGACATTCCGCCTGATGCAATTAGACGAAAGTTTTAGGATGTCTGCTAGGATCGCACGAGACAGTCTCCACTTTTTCTACAAAACTGTGATTCAGTTTTATGGTCCAAAATATTTATGTAAGCCTACACGTAATGACATCCTGCAATTGCAAGCTCATCATGCTAGTGCGCATGGGTTTCCTGGAATGCTAGGAAGCTTAGATTGTCTCCATTGGACATGGGAAAATTGTCCCACGTCATATCATGGGCAATTTACCCGAGGTGATCATGGTCACCCAACAGTCATACTTGAAGCAGTTGCATCACAAGATATGTGGATTTGACATGCTTTTTTTGGTTCTCCTGGTTCGATTAACGACATCAACGTTCTTAATCGTTCACCTATATTTAACAACATATACGATGGATCCGCACCAGATTCTTCTTTTGAAGTGCGTGTAACGCCATATTAGTATGGTTATTATCTGGTCGATGGAATCTATCCTGAGTATGCTGTGTTTGTTAAATCGTTTACGTGTCCACATCGTTCTAGACGAAAGAAATTCAAGATAGCTCAAGAAAGAGCTAGGAAGGATGTTGAGCGTGCTTTTGGAGCTCTGAAGAAAAGATGGTTCATATTGAAAAAACCAGCAAGTTATTTAGGCGAGGAAAAACTTCAAGAAATCATGTATACATGTCTCATATTGCATAACATGATTATTGAAGAAGAAGGAAGAGCGATATGTGCGTTTGACGAGGAAGAAACCATACCAGAGACACAACCAATAGAAATTGGTGGCGAAGAGTATATGAATAGGAGAGCAGAGATACGTTGCACTGAAACATTTCACAATCTTCGCAATGACTTGGTGGAACACATTTACGGGGTTCAAAAGATTAACTTTAATTTGGATCCACCGGATAACTCCGAAGACGAGTTCTCGGATAACGACTTTATGTAGTTTGCTTTAGTTATTTTATTTGTGTTTTTAAAATCTTTAGGATTATTTTAATGTCATGTTTTTTTTGTGTGTAATGCGATGTAATGCTTTTTGAATTTTTAATGTACTGTTCTTTTTTAATTTTCAAGTAATGAAAATATATGTTTTTTTTATTAAAAAAAAAGTTTTAATTAAAATAGCTAAAAAAACAAAAAAAAATAAAAATAAAATAAAAGTGTGGCGCCACTCCCTTGGTGTGACAAGAAACCACACTTATGTGGTAAAAAATGACGTGACACTTATGTGGCGGGGGAGGGAGTACGGTTTCGGTGACACCACTCCCTCCAGCCTAATGGTTCTGTATTGAATATATATATATATATATATATATATATATATATATATATATATATATATATATATATATGTTCAAATGTTTCTCACATCTATTGTGTGTTAGAATGCACCAATAGGAATTTAGTATTAATTATATGTATATTAAATGTTATCCATACTTATAACTCATTTTTATGGAAACTAATTAAATTCGTGATTAATGTCAACAATAATATTCTTTGAGAATGAATTCAAATCTAGAAAAATGAGAGTGTATTCCAGCAAAATGAGAGTGTATTATAGTAGAATACACTCTCGTTCTTCATATTCCATGCAACTTTATTGTATTTTAAGTGAGTGAGTCCTGAAACAAAATACGAACTTATATATAAAACCTAGATGCGAATTCTTTCTGAAAGAATGTTATTGCTGACATTAATGACGGCTTTAATTAGTTTCCATAAAAAGAGAACTATAATTATGGATATCATTTAATATACATATAATTATGGAAATCTTTTAATATCTATATTTATTTAATTAAATAATTATTTAATTTACTAAATAATTACTAAATTTGTATTGGTGCATTGTAGCACACAATAAATATGATAAACAAAATAACCTATATATATATATATATATATATATATATATATATATATATATATATATATATATATATATATATATATATGGTGAGGTTCAATAGAAAACAATAATTAACCAGGAACCAATGAACCAATCTTTTTTTCAACTTTTAGAACTTATTTTTTATCAAAAAAAAAAAACTAAAAATACAGAAATTCATAACTTTTTATCCTTTTCCAATGATATCAAATTCGATTTTTTTTACGTCAAATTCACAATGTGAATATTTGAAAATTCACAATGTGAAACCGGATTCACACGGTGAATCCGAAATATATTTTTCACATTCACAATGTTAATATATGAATTTAGATTTTTTTAGATTTTTTTTCGATAAAGTATAAACTCTAGAAATTGAAAAAAAGATTTGGTTCTTTGAAAAACTAATAATTATGGTTTTCACTTGAACTTTTATATATATATATATATATATATATTATATATATATATATATATATATATATATGCGCAGGTTTCCTGGCTGGAATTGAGATGAAAAGTCAATGGAGTTTATGAAGTTTCCATGAAGCTTCAAACTGTTTTCTAATGTACATTGCCTAATGCAACAACAAACGACCAAAGTAACATGACTCATGGCTAACATTCATTTCTCTACACTAACTCACGTTCCCCCACTGCTTGTGTCCCGGAACCCACTTCGGGCACTTGGGGCTAAAGTAACTGGACGCCACCCTCGAGCTCAACAGCTCAATGATTGGTGCAAACTTGACACACCGTGGGGTCTTGTACTGGTTGATCGAAGCACCTAAACTGATTGCGTAGTCCATCAGCTTATCAAACGTCCCATTTTCCACGATCTTGATCTCCAGTGGTCCGATGGATTTATCCGAAGCCCTCCCCTGTCTGTACACACTGTTGAGCGACTCTTCAATGGCGAGACAGCAGTCTTCAAAGACGGATGGTGGAACTGGAGTCGCCTCGTTGTTCACGCTCAGTTCCCAGAAGATGACGTAATGGCCTGGGATGGTGGTTGTGTCTGCGAAGCTTGTGTACTCAGTCAAGGTCACGTCAAACGGCATCAAATGGGTCACTGCGTTTTCAACTGCTTTGTGTAGTTCGACTTCATCGGTTTTGTCGGAGTCAATGCTCAACGCCACGTTCTTCCGGCATATAAAGTTAAACTGAGGGGATTTGTTCTTGAATCCTGCAACTCTCAACACATCACCAACTCTATACCTATAAAGACCTGAAAATTTCAAACAATCATTACATCAAAATCATGGTGAGTAATTAAACCATCAACCAGATTAAATCTCGAATACTAACCAGCGTAAGTGGTAACCACAAGCTCGTATTCTTGACCGAGCTTCACGTCCGAAAGATCGACCAATTCTTGTTGTTCTTTCTCGTTGAGTGATTTTGGCATCGAGATTGAACTTGTGACTCCATTGTTACGATGAACAGGAAGGAACTCGAAATAAGCCATGGTCGGAATAAGGGTGTAGGACACTTCACTAGGTTTACAAAGAGGGTTGAGGTTGACACCGAAATAACATTCCGATGAAGCATACATTGTGCAAACAAGAGGGAGACCATTGCCATAGTAATCAAGAGTGGGTATGTATTGTGACATAGTTCCTGTAACTATAACATCAATATACTTGGTGTTTGGCCATAGCCTCGTTATGATCCCCTGCCATGATTTCTTGGAGCATTCAAACTCGATAAAGTCTGATAATTTGGGGTCGGGTTTCAAGACCCCTCATCACAGCTTCACGAACGGAAGGGTCAGTAATGGTGGGGTTCAAGGTTCCAGTTTTGATATCATGACACAAAAAGGTCCAATTTTTTTCCAAGAATCTTATTGCCCGGATGAACCCGGAAGCAAAAACTGCCCCGACCCGAAGAACTTCGTTGTGAAGACAAAGTCCACAAAGCATCTGGGAATACATGCTTTGGTAGGAATCAGAGCAAAGAATGGTTTCATTAGGGCTGGTGTAGTTTGTGTAAGGGTCGTAAGGTCTTTGTTTGAAATGGGAACTTTTGTAGTAACTAGTTAAAACGGGTCGGGCTACAAGCCCACCTGGAGTCTTGGCTTCTGATTTGATAAACAAGAAATACATCCCTTTGCCTTTATCTAAACCGGGGACAAACTGGTTCATCACAGGCATCAAAAGGCTGTAGAGTAATGACCTTCTATCAAGCTCATCTTCAATGGTGGGCATCAATTTTCTCTCT